CTTCTTTTAATAACTTTTCTGTTCTTCACTATCAAAAGCTGCTTTTTCTTATCATTTGCACTGATATAGTCAAGTATCACAGAATCCCAGCCTGGTTTGTGTTAGAAGCGACCTTAAAGCTCCTCCCGCCCCAACCTCTGCCACGGGCAGGGACACCTTCCACTAGAGCAGGTTGCTCCAAGGCCCTGTGTCCAACCTGCCCTTGAACACTGCCAGGGATGGGGCAGCCACAGCTTCTCTGGGCACCCTGTGCCAGCGCCTCAGCACCCTCACAGGGAAGAATTCCTTCCTTGTATCTAACCTAAGTCTCCCCTTTTTAAATCTGAACCCAAGTGCAAGTAATAACGTTACACAACATTGTTGGTGATTACAATATATAAGTACTAATGAGATAACCTGCATCAGCTGTGTTTCACAGGTGTAGACACCGATCCTGATGAGCCCTAGAACCAGTGGAAGCAGCTCCTTCTAACCCAGATGGAGCCATCAGAGCTTAATGAGCAGAAAATGGCTGTGAACTTGTGGTTCACCTCTGGCTGAAACCCACTCGACTTGTGGGGTTCACCCCACTCACAGCCTGTGTACATCTCATGCACACTAGATCAACCTAGATTTTTTATCTGTAGCATTTGTTGGGGCTCAATGACTTCCTACCATTATTTCTAGATTCTTTTCCGTTTAATATAGAATTACAGAATGGGAAGAAAAGGACCTTAAGTTCATCCAGTTCCAAGGCCATGCCATGGGCAGGGACACCTCACACTAGACCATGTTGCCCAAGGCTCTATCCAACCTGGCCTTGAACACTGCCAGGGATGGAGCATTTACCACTTCTCTGGGCACCCTGTGCCAGCACCTCACCACCCTCACAAGAGCTTCTTCCTTATCTCCGACCTGAACTTCCCTTGTTTCAACTTGAACCCATCACCCCTTGTCCTGATGAAAAGTACCTCTCCAGCATCCTTGTAAGCCCCATGTAAGAATGGGCAACATTATGCACTTAACACTTACATTTCTGAAGCAAAGCAGCCAGTTTATATGAACACAGAGGCAAAGGGGTGTCCTATGAATACCAGCAAATTGTTTCAAAGAACCACCATTCCACAGCCTCAGCAGCAGCCAACTGCTCCATGGTCTCATGTGAAAGTATCAGGGGGTTGGCTGGGTTACTGCATGCAGGGCTGTTCTGTGAAGTGCAGTTCAAGGCATCAGAGCATCAGCCAAGTTGCTCTTATTTCCCAAAAGAGTTAGAAGCTCAGCTCTTCTGTACCATTACCCTTTCCTGTAGCCTTTGAAGAACCTTTCTCTATAGCATGATCCTAGCAAGGTATAAAAAAAGAACTAGGGGCAGTCTGTTCCCAGTCAGACCTCTAGGGACAGATCTAAGGCTGTGAGAGCTGCTGCTGGCACACGAATCATAAGGAAAGTGGCAAACCCCCAAATTCTCAGGCTTTAGAAGCAGGATCCAGCAGTGTCCAACATTACAAATCACCTCCATTCTTCTGACCTTCCTTGTCAAACAGCTGTGATGCTACTGAAGCATTTCAGAAGCAGAGAAATAAGCTGTGCATAAAACAAACCCCCAGTTTCACACTGCGGGTTACCCAGGTAGGAGAAAAAGCAGCACCTGGGCAATAATGTAATTCCAAGTGGAGTATCACGCATAATATTAGACTGTACCCGAGTTGCATCAAATTACTTACTCCAGTGAAGAAACTTCACTACTGCCACAGTAGCCAAAGAACAGGATATTGTTGCTGTATCTCCAGGTAATATAGATGCAAACCCATCTTTGTGTTCAAATGGAAAGCAGGCTGAGGAATGATGGCAACATCTCAGGCATCGCAGATAGATTTTTTTCCTTCTTTCAGCTATATGAAATATCTTCCATTTTCCAATTTAAAAAATGTATTAGAAAGTCCCTTTTATAAGAATAATTACTTTTCTAGCACACTGAAATAGTGCATCTGCTGGAATCCTGCCTGTCATCTCCTACATTCACAATAGAGCTCTTCCAACTCTGAAATTTAACCAGTGCCAGATTCAGTAGGCACTTTGTTTGACTAACATTCATATTGACAAACATCACACAACTTGTGTTGTATCCACCAACTGTACGATGAAGGAAACATCCTTCTGTTGAAAGCTTTTAAAGCCATTTACTTAGGCAAGGAAACTCTTAATAAGAGTTTGATGTTTTCTCCTCAGATACCAAAGCACCAAAGACAAGCAGAAGGAATGTGTAAGATTACAAGCTTGTGGCATTTCCCCCAGGAAACATTAGTCAAGTTTGCACCTTCTTCTCCAGATGCCAATGGTATTAGTTTCTGGTAACTGAACATGATCAGACTTATTTACTCTCTGTTATTAAGTACATATTTGCAGGCATAAAGCCATGTTGTGGGTTTCTTTAACCTTTTAAAGTAAGTATCTGCCTCCAACCTTAGACAAGTTTTTCCTAAGCATCACTTTTTGAATCATTGTGTAAAAGACACTTGTGGCCCAAGATCTCAGAGGCCAGGATTGTCATAGACCAGTCATGAAATAAAACTGGTTTTATTTCTTGTGGCTTGGCCCACAAGAAGCTTGGGAGATCAGAATCCTCCTAACTTCTTCAGAGGAAGAGGCAGCTGTAGATGCTGAGATGACGGGGTAAAGGGTAGGGTGAAATGATGCCTGATGGCCAAGCCTAAAAGTCCTGCTGAGGTTATCACTAAAATATATGGTGATTAAATCTGAGCTATTGCAAGTGTCAATATACTGTTTATTATATTGATAAGAGTGTAAACCCAAGGAATGTAAGGGATCACAGTTGTACCCAGTTGTGTGGAAAACAAAACTTCAACAGAGATACAGACCTCCCTGACCTTTTTTCACATATTGGTGCAACCAGCTCATAGGATAGGGTAGGCAGAGACTACCCTGGGTGGAAGAGATGTGGAGTTCCATTGGAGTAGAAGAAGCAGCACAAGAGATTGCTGCTTTTTGTTTTTATAGGTGCTAGTTGCTCTTCTTTGTTTGTGTGTGTTTGGTTCTGTGGAGAAGGTTGTAGTGCCATTACTAAGTGTTTGTTATTTCACAGTGTTGGGGAGGAGTAGCACACATTTTGCTCAGTAAGAACATAGATGCCAAGTCAACATAAGAGTAATAATGGAGCATTTCAGCCTTAAAGTAGACTTCATTAAAGACAAGTAGATTCACTTACTGATGTTTAAGACCTGAAGAACACATTTCCTTTACTGAACTTCTGCTGAGAGTTCTCGTCTGTGTGTTCAGACTGTTCCCAAAAGCTTTCTGTCAGAATTGGGTTTATGAAACAGGTGGAGAGGTTTATGAACAGGTAAAGTTGTTCTGTGTTGGCTGGAAACATGTCTTGCCTGAGAAGTCCTTGGGATGACCAATACCTTGGTATGAGCATCCTCTTCCTAAGCTACCTGGTTTCCATAGCAGTGTTGCACGATATAAACTGAAGCAGCTGAAAGTGAGAAGACAGTAAGTGAGAACCCACAGACTTTGTCTAAAGGGAGTTAGACGATCAGCAAAAGAAAACAGATTTCAGCTAAAGGAAAGCACTAACAAACACCCAAGTCCTTTTAGAGCTAAAGAAGCTGTAATCTACCAGTGATCTTTGCTTTCCACTCTGGCTAGAGATAGATCATTATTTCATCTGCTTGCTCAACAGATGACTAATGACTTGTACTACAGGAAGCATTATTTGAGGCATTAACAGACAAAACTTCAGCAGCAGCAGCAGTAGTTTACGTAAGCAAGCTTTACTATCTAATCAGTGCATTCAGGTCTTACACCTGAATGACAAGAGTATGTAACCTTCAGGAAAGGAGTATAAAGAAGGCACTGGATATCTGGAAAAGGAAAAAGAACACAGGTAAAAATGAGAGGAGTAGTGAGACATAGGCAGAAAGAACAGCAAAGAAGATGGGTTGTAGCAACTCAGAAAATACAGAATGAAGTTCCAGAGCACTATTTAGGCATAAACAGAACCGTAGCTGGAGAACTTGACCAAATGAAAACTCACAGCCAATTTAGTTTTAAAGGAAGAAGTTACTAGTGATGAACGCTTCTGCTCTCACTTTGATGCATGGGGGAAGCTGTGAGGAAGTAAATCCCAGGTCTGAGAAGTTCCTCTATACTTGAGGTATGTAGCATCTTGGGTTTGGATCCTGTAAATTCTATTCTCTTGAATAAAATGAAGCTGTTGTATTGATTTCAGCAATACAGTGCTTAAAAGGTTAAGGCAAAGATCTATCCACAAAACCTCCCATAAAACCTGCAAACAGATTTAGAATTGAGTGAGATCTCTGACAGATGCTCAATCCAGTCAGGAAGTGCAGCCCTTTCAAAAGTAAATAGAACACTTGCATTGAGAATCCAAAATTTAAGCATGCATCTTTTTCACTCATGATAATCTAACTTTCTATCATCCATGAGAGCATAGTCCAAGTAGAATCACTCAAGTTGTCTTCAAGTGTCCAGGAAGTCCTAAGTGGTTTGGAAAGCAGCCATCAAATGAGGGGGGTTTGTATGCAGCAGCCACAACCAATTCCCAGTAAGGCAGAACCACTCCAGCATGGACACTAAATCAAGTCTTTTGAAACCAGCTGACAGGAACATTTAATATGACAGGAACTGCTGTTAAAATACAACTTTATTAATGAAACCCCAATTAAAAGACCAACTAAATGTAGGTTAAAGACATTTCAGAGACTGTGGTGTGAACTAGGTATTAAACACATTCTTAAACTATACAGAAAGGGGAGGAGGCAGTTGTGACAACCAATTTCCTCTGGCAAACTGGTCAGGCATGGACCGGTTCATGTAGCAGGCTTAGGAGGTTACCTATGCACTAATGCAACATCAACAGTCTCTAGCAAGTCCCATGGGAAGCACTGAAGATCCAGCTACAATCACTGTTCATGCTTGGAAGAAAATAAATAAGTTAACAACAAATTCCTCTCTCTAACACAAAATGCATTTGTCCTCTAGGAAATCCCAGGAAGTTCTCCAAGAGTTTCTCCCAGTTCAGCTAAGGATTCACAAAGTCGTCCTTGGAAGCTGCTGTCAAACATGTCACTTATTTCCTCTCTTAACGCCCTCAGCAGAGGCACTGTGGACTTACCATCTGCATTCACAATTCTTCCCAAAAGTTTACTCCAGAAATCACTGTCAAAAGTCCTAAAACAAACAAAGCAGTGAAACAGGATGTCAAGGTTTCCATTTATATCCAGCACTAAACACCCTGGGAGAAGGAAGGCTGAGATCATAATTTCACTCACATGAGTAAATGTAAAGGAAAACCAGGAATGTCTTGTTAAGTTTGTACATGTGGGTCCCTTTCTCCGGGAGGATTCTGAATAGTAGCTAGACTGGCTGTGCCACACAGGTAGCAAAACCAGTGGTTTTGGTTCTCTCTTCTAGTATACCTGACCACTATCACCTACACACTTTTAGTTTAAAGGAGTTATCACAAACACTCTTTGAAACAACAAAGTTGGCAGACTCCTTTCATGAATAAGGGATAGAGGTACCCTATTTGCAAGCTAAGTTCATGGGTCAATATTAAAGAAAAGCTGCAAGAGAAAACAAGAAAGGGGTTTACAGCCAGTTTTACTGTCTTTATTCCCTGCCTTCCATCTGCCAGAGCTCTCATAGAGATAACATTTCAGAGGCAATTAACAGTAATAAATCCCCTCTCCCATATACCCACACAACAGGAATAAAAAGGTTAAGTGACTCATTACAGTATGAAAAGTATCAGAAAAGTGATATCAGAGCTAACCCTTTGTTCTTCAGTCTCACACTGAAGTCCATAGACCACACTGCTGCTGACTACCAAAGTGCTTTCCTGCCTCAAGCTAGGAGTCACAGTGGCTTTTGAAGCAGTTATCTGCCTCTGCTGTGACTCAGACACAGCAGCAGCCAAAGTCTCAGAAGGAATCTGGCCTCAACTATTAACTCCTATATTTTCTAAAATAATGAAGTCATATAGAACCTAACCAAGAAACTAAAACATGCAGAACTTGAGGCAGTTTTCATCATGGATTTAGACAAATAAGAAGCATAGCAGAGGAGGTTAAAGGTTGGTAAAAATATTGCAGGAGTGGCAAAAGCCCTAAAAATTCAAACACAGCTTCTACATAGTACCTCACATAAGCCTCCACAGATGAAATTTCCTAAAATACTATATTGAAAATAAAAACACTTCTGGAACTGAAAAATCTCCAAATACATTATTTAGTAATGACAAGATGCTAAAATCTCCTCCCTTGAAAAACAACTTGTCAGCCATATAGTAATGCTTAAAGATGAAAAGAGAAACTGGATCATAATTCACATTCTACCTCTCCAGGAGTCCTTACTACACTGTTTAAGTGTTTGCATTCATTCCATCGGTGGGTTCTGCTTTATTGAGTGCCTTTAGAAGAACTATTTTGTGCTTTGCCTTGCAATTCCCCACTGCTTTGGTATTTTGTCAAACTGGTGGTAAAATTAGTGGCTCTACCAGTCATTCTGTGTTTAATATGTCATTAATGTGTTTAACACTTAAAAATAATTAAGTCTCTTTTGAAAAGCTTTCCCAAGATAAGATGGTCATGGTTGTCGCATTTAACACCAGTCAGCCTTCTAGTAAAAAGCCTTCTTCCTACTTGTCACTGCTTAAATTCTCACACCATTCTTCTAAGAGAGTTATCCTGTCAACATAACCTTCAAAAAATCCCCCAACAAACCTAAACCAACCCCTAAAGAAACAAAAGAAAAGCCCAGACCACTTTCCATGTCACTTGTACAACTTCTAGCAGAAAGGATATTAGTAACATGATCTTTACAAAAGAAAAGTAGAATTACTAAAAGCAACAGGAAAATGAATCCTGTGTCTCTATGGGCGTTGCGGGTGTCACTGTATAGAAAGGATAAAGCACAGGAGTATTATCCATCAGCTGAATCTTCTCACAGGGAAGCGCTTCATTGTGCAGCCCCTTCTGGGGAAGGAAGATTCCTGCAGCAGGGAACTTGCTTGTCAGAGATTGAGAGTTTATTGAAAGCTTCAAATTGACTGGAGAAAATGTCATTTAATAAGAACCAGACACACTGAAAGATCTGTGTGTGAAGGGGAAAAAAGATTCAGTGCAGATGCCTTATTCTCACATAAAGAAATGCCTCATTTACACTGATATTAGACTTCAGTACAACATGTAACTGAAGCATCTGTACGAACAGGTCTTGGATTTCTTGATACTGAAAAAGAACTACAGAAGATGAATATTAAGCCTATCACACTTTCAGAAGCGAAGTGGAAGACAGGATGGAAAATGGAAATTCCTTATTTGTACTCTCAACTTCAAAGCAAAGTTACAGAGTGATGTACTGGAGGGAGCAATGAGCCATTAGAGCCTCGTTCCATCCACACAGAACTCATACCCAGGCTCTGCCTGCTTCCTCCTTAGGCTCCTCCAGCCCTTCTCAGGTCTTACTCCCCCACCTTCTGCCCAAGCCTCCCTCCAAATTCTACATTTTCCCACAATCCTTCTCCTTCCAATCCAGTGTCCCCAGCTTGGACTGGAATTCCTTTCCAACTGACACCTCCCCTGTCCTTCCAAACTCAGACTTACTACACATGCTACTCAGCTCCTCCTGCTCCAGTTATCCAGACTATTTTTCCCATACCCACATCCTGATCAAGTCCCCAACACCCTGTTCCTACCTTCTCAACTCAGGCCTTGTGTGGCTTCATCTGCAGTAGCTCAATGTAGAATTAAATAAATAACATTTAAAGTTAAAAGCAACTCCAACCAGAGTTAGTTTGGGCCATCTATCCTAAATATCATTAACACCTGATCATGTTCTGATACAAATTAGTACACAGGAGCCCTAATTTTCAGTGCAGGTCAGATTTACACAGCTCAGATATGGAATGTTGGTTTATCTGTCAAGAGAACAAAAACCTTTCAAAGTACCTTTCAAAGAGTCACCTACTACTATGACCCATTAGTCTCCATCAATGATTTAGTTGCCTTTTCTTTAGTATTTCTGAAACAAAGGTGGTATAAGATATATATTTACTGCCAATCTATAAATCATTGATATTCATCTCTTCAGAGACCAACCACCCTTGGTGATTTTGTTCTTCACAGCTTAGTCCTGTAAGGCGATCTGAAGCAAAACCAAAAGCTACCAGGTAAAGTACAGCACATGTAGTGAGTACACAGCAGCCACCTACTAGAGCCTTTTAGCTACTGTTAGTAGTAGAAAAATATATAGCCAGTAAAGAAAAAAAGCATTTTTCCCCTGTGCACAGCTTAAGACAAGATGTTTCTTCAAAGAATGAATACAACAAACTAGGAGGGGGAAGCAGTGGACAACTCCCTGACTGGTAGTAGGTTTTCTTCAAGCAATGGTTATGGGAGTACATCCGCACAGTGAGTGTAGCTGATGTACCATGATCCTGAATGCAGAAATGTGTCAAGTAGCTTCAGGAATGAGAAGAGTGTTCTGGAAAAGCCTTATGAAATGCTAAGGCAGAAAATGCTGCAGGATGTGACTAAGAAAATGAACAAGCATTTAGTCTAAGAACAAACAAAGGTGAGATGAAGGCAGAGTAGCCTTACAGCCAAAAACGCGGCTAACAGAGGGCAGCAGAAATTAATAGCCAAGGACAAAGAGCAGTTTCCAAAAAGAAGTTTCTTGCACATGCATCTTAAATTATAAATCATATAAGTATTTAAATTATTTTCCTTCTTGTGCATTTGTGCTGTTTCTGCAACTGTTACAGACTGAACCCTGGCATCAGTGTCTTTGTAGCCCTTCAACATAGCCTAGAATGAAAAAAGCAGGAACAAAAAGTAATCTCCATTTCTAAAGCAACGTGCTCATGCAATTTTTTCCTCCTCACCACCCACCCACTTATAAACTTCTCCAAGCTCCATCTAACAAGTGAAACCAGACTAAAGCAGTCTGGTCTGAAAGGATAAAAAAAACAAAGTAGTATTACCTGGACTGTAAGGCCCAGAGTCAGCTTAAAATTGTCTCCTACACAGCACTAAGGCTGCTATACAATGAACACATCTCATAGCTTCAAATTCTAAATCCCCACAAAACTAATGCTTTTGGCAACAGCACTAAGTTCAATGTTCTGAGCTTTGTAAAGTGAAGGAAGTTAGAAGTCTGTTCTTTCCCAGCAGCCTCCTTTGCAAAAGGACTTACTTTGATACATTTTGGCTGATTTTCCAAATGGAATTCTCTTGGTAGACCTGGATATGATCCCCAAACAGCATCAAATGAACTATATCTGCAATGGCAACCAAGTCCACCTGCAATTACAAACATCAGGGTTTGTCTTTATTCAGTATTTATTGATCACAGCTTTCCTGTAAAGGAAACACAGAAACTAAGGTGTCCTGCTAAATACAGACTCACCTGGTACGGAAGAGCACTTTTTGCCAGAAGCTGTTGTCCGTGAGGGGTCTGGGAAATGGGAAAGCTGTTGGGCCAGCTTACTTGAGACTGCAATCTCAAATCCAGACTGTGAGAGAAGTCCACTATCTTCAGAGCTCTCATCATCTCTTCATTAGCAAACGGATCACAGATCCTGAGCAGAGGGAGCAAATGAAGCATAAAACAACCCAACAAAGTTTATGAAACTAAATGTAAGAGTGTAGTGCAGGTGAGGCTTAGCCATGTCAATGCTCCCCTCTGATGGTTAGCTTAAGAACTACTGCTGAAGGGACTAACCCAAGATGGGGAACCAGGTGGCAGCCTGAAGCTTAGAGGTGATATTGGTGTCTCCAAAGCAAGCAATGGGAAACACTAAAGGATTAAGGATGCTGCTGCTTTGATATCTGTCACAGTTATCCAAAACATAGTTGGTGGCACAGAACAGCATAATGTTTAGCACCTCTCCCTCTCCTTCAAGATCTCCAAACACTTTATACAAGAAAGAACTAAGCTTCATAATACTTTCATAAACCTTCCCTAGTCCCCACACTAGGGAGGACAACAGGAAGGGCAGTGAGGAGTATCTGTATAGATGACAGAGCACTGCATGTACACTATGTGCCTGTCCCAGGATAGTTTTTACATTATCCTAACTTTTTGCCAGTGTAGTTTGGTTTGTATTCACCACAGAGAAATCCAGCAGGAGATATCCAAATCCATCAGCCACTGTTAGATCAGTGACTTCCAAAAGACAACCCTGAGGGATGTGCAAGACAGTCCATTGGGGTGTGGAAAGAAAGTATTAGAAGTTCACTAGTACATGTGTGTAATTTATAAATAAATTATATATATGTATTTTAGATATAATGAATTATATAAATAAAATAGATTATAAGTAAAACATTGGTATGCATGTTAGATGACTGTAATTTCAAGTTAATAGCTATTTTTAATCTATCAGTGAAGGCTAAGAACAATGAATTTCTTCTAATGGAATTCTATCTGAATCATTAGACATTAAAAGTTCCTGTCTTCCCACGCTTAGTTCACAGATCACATTCCAAGGGATATGTGCCTTTGATAACATACTATGGGAAAATGCTTGGAGAAGAAAACTAGATCTAGCTTGTAACCAGAATGTTACGAGCTGGACTGTAGTGCAGAGTAAGCAATCTGCTGAGGAGAGTGTCTGGATATTCCAGTCCCACCTGCCCTTTGTCTTCTAATTTCCTGGGTTTCAGCTACATAAAACCAGAAGAGAAGTTATTTACCAACATCCAGTACATTGCTAAAGTAGAAATGAGAAGACAGGCAATAGAAAAAAAGATTTTCTCAGTGTTTTTACAACATGGTTTATACTATTCCTACAGAAACACATACGATAAAAGGTTTATTCCTAAGCAAAGTGTTTTCACTATTTTCAGAACACACTGAGCTTAAAAACCTGACTGCAATAGCAGTACCCCAACAAAAGAGAAGTTACAACAGCACAAGGGCAGTAGCAAAAGTATTAGATCTCCTCCCATATTCATCCAAAGAGACAAACCTGTCTCCCAGAAAGAACACATCTGGACTGAGATCTCCATGGACAATCTCTGCTTTGTGGAGCTTCTCTACCACACCCAGAAGATTATAAACAACCAGTAGGATAACTTCCTCTGTGATGGTCTTAGAGCCACGGATAACATCCTGAAAGGAAGCAATAAATATGTATCTATTACGCCTTCAATTAAGTGAAATATTTATAGCTCACCTTTTTTCCTTACTCATCTGTACAGAGACAACAGCCCTACCCTGATTTCAGTATAATCAGATTTTGCCTATGATCAGGCCAGGCAGAATTAGAAACAGAATGAGCTCTTAGGAGACACAATTACTCAGAAGTGGACAAAAGATCAGGAGGGGACTGAAATCACTATTTAATTTGTATCCTACTTATACGCAACAATTCAGAATATACTTGCTTTATTTAAAATGTAAATCCTTCAGCAAGACACTAAATGCTACAACCTTACTATAGCAGACTGGAAGTCACTGATAAATGTCAAGTTAAACAAGAGTTTTAGGTGCAACCCTTGTTGTGAAATAACATGTGGTTCTTGGCTCAGGTCATTTATCACTCAGAAATAAAGAAAATGTGAAAAATTGGTTCAAGTTTGTCTCTGAAGCACAGGATCCATGAATGAGAAACCATCTCCAACTAAGGCTATAATGGACACTCCTAACTTGAAGCACAAACCAGAGGCTCTAGATTGCAGGATTAGACCCATCTTCAGCAATGAGTATAATGACAAACACAATTCACTAATGGTACCTATGCAAGAGTTCACATCAGCTACAATTCCACTTTGTTTGGCTGTACTGACCCCAAGCGTGAAGCGATTGATATCCCTGTGCAAAACAGCACAGCCATCCTGGAACAGGTAACAGCAGCAGTCCTCACTGAAGTTCTGGTCAAAGTCAGCACTCAAACGCTCCTGTAACTGAAGGGTGATATAAAAATCCCAAGGTATGGGCTGAGAATACACCTAGAAGAAGGTACAGAAGAAGAACATTTATTTTTGGAAGAGAGTGAAAATTGCTCATCTTCATATTCTTCTTCTTTTCCTCCTCACTTTATCAAAAGATGACATTTTCCACAGTCAGAAACTTTTAATCTGTATAAACAATGAGAAAGAGGACTTGAAGTAGCAAATTTCATGCATGGAATTCAGAAATTAATACCAAACTTACTACCTTTTACTTTATATTGGCTGAGGAGATTTTAACATTTCACATTCCTTGTATAACATCATCATGTGTTACCTTTATTGCAAATCCCTTTGCATCCAACTGGGGAATGTTAGCTGGAATGGCAAAAAACATCTTGTATTCTTCCTTGGTCCAATATTCCCATTTGATGCAGTATGTGTCATTCCCTGTTATGAAAGTTGACATTCATGAGCTGTCACAGCAGACACACATACCCAGGATGCTCAAGTTATTCCCCAGCTACATGACATAAAATGAGTGAGGGTGAATGTGAAGCATATTTCAAACCAAGCAGAACACAAATAGATCCCCTGCACTGTGGTTCTGCCATACCCACCTAGCTCAACATCTTTCTCAAGCTCCATGACAGGCAGAGGGCCATTCTCCAGATGGAAATAGGGAGAAGCAGTCAGTGATCCTGGCACAGGATCTAAAAGCTTCTTACGCTGTTCAGTGTTACACAGGATCTGAGTTACATCATCACCTACTAAAGACAAGTAATAGAAAGAGATGAGCTGAAACCAGGTGTTGAGTCTCTGTGGTGATTATATCTGTCAAGAAAAAGTAACTCGAGTATTGGAACCTTTCTATCTGCATACTGATTTACTGCATCACCTTCCAGCAAGTCAATTAATCTCTTTCCAATAGCTTCTTGTTCTGTGAAGTGAGCATAACACTCATCTCTGGAGCTACCTTACTATCTGCTCATGAGGTCTCAAGGATTCTACTCTGGTGTCATGCAAAATGTATCTTTCACAAGAGGAAGCTCTGATTTCTATTAGGTAAGTCTGCTCAGCCACAGCAGAATTCAAACCTATCTGGCAAGTGAAGAATCCTTTTGTAAAGTCTATGTCCAGAGCAAGCGATCAGTTTGTGATTTTTAAAAGAAGGGATTTATTAAAACTCACTCCTTCAAATACAGCAGGGATTTACATTAGAAAAGGAAAATAAAGTAGGACTCCAACTCTGCTGCTCACTGAAATATTAAGAATCTAATGGCTTTTACCTCATGGAAGACATGTAAAGTAATTATATGTAGATCTGGGTTTATTTTTCTACATAATAGACAGGACAGAGAAAATCCTTCAATAGATGAGTTCATCTGTACAAGGTGGCCTGAAAAAAGTGTTTCTCTCAAATGATGAGGCAGAGAGAACCACAGCAGAACCAGATGGCTTCTGTCTTCTCCTAAAATCTGTGACCAGTAACGGCTGACAGCATTTCAAGCTCTTGCAGTACAAAAGTGAGAATCAGAGTGTCATTACCTACTCCTCCATTTCTTTGAAAAGCATTGCAGTAAGATATTGCTCAGGAGGTAATTCCATGAAAGGAGATCCAGAAAACACTGTAGGTTGAAGGATACATAGGTGTTCCAATATTTTATCATCCCAAACCTTTGAAATTACTGGCATATTTTACAGGAATAAATTGACAGACATCTGAAGTCATTTTTTTGCTCTATGGAGCATTAAGGAGTCCTCAGTAGAATCACTACATCCAGGCTGAGAACTGCACTTTAAAGGAGTTGGGCAGAAAGCAAGTTAAAAAAGCAAGAGGAATGATCAACAGTTTAAGAAAAGACCATTAAAATATGTGAATAAATGCTTTTTCCCAAAAAGAATCTGTAAAGAGTCTTCATTTTGCTCTAAAGATTAGAGCGTATGATAAAGAAAATGAGTGTAAGATCTATCCAGAGTACTTCTCCTAATCATATTTTCATTCCGGGTCTCAAGCATACTTCATCAGATGCAAAATTCTAATCAAAATAGCATAAACCAAAATCAAAGGAGTTATAGCAGGTGAAACACCTTGAAAACCATCATTCAATAAAAACCTAATTCTACAGGCCAGATTTTGAAGGCTTTCTGTGACCGTTGCTGTTCTAACTGTAATACAAAGATTTATAAGAGAGAGAAACAAAGGTCTCTGGCTAGAAAAGGATAAAAAAAGCCATTAACTACTTAAATACCAGTATTGTTTTCCTTCAGTAGGAAAAAGAAACATGCTGCAATGCAGCACAATAGTTTACAGCAAAGTTGAAAACGCAAATTTAAAGCCAAACACTTTCACTAGAACTTAAATTCAATTCACCTTTTTCATAGTGGCACTTATCAGAACACAGTGTGACTACGGGGAAAACAATCAAGACAAAACAAAGCTGCCTTAGAAGTTCTCACTAATGTCCAGTCATAGAATCATAGAATCTTTTAGGTTCAAGAAGACCTTTAAGATCGTTGTGTTCAGCCATAAACCCAGCTCTTCCAAGGCCACCACTAACCCATGTCCCCAAGAGCCACACATCCACACATCTTTTAATCCCCCCACCGGGATGGCGACTCCACCACTGCCCTGGGCAGCCTGTTCCAGTCCTTGCCAGCACTTTCAGG